GAACGATCGTGCTTTTTAATCCAACTTGACAGTCTATGTGGCTTAATTGGAGAGTTAATTCCGTTAATGTTGAGAGATAGGACTGAGAGGTATTTGTGAGTCCCTGACATTTAATCCACCTTCTTGGGGGCTGCAGTTACTGGGTTCTTCCTATGGTTCTTGGATTATCAGTTTGGGTGTAGTTTCTTGGCCTTTATTGTGGTCTTTTTGGTTTTCTATGTGTAGGACATCTTTAAGAATCTTTTGTAGGGCTGGTTTGGTGGAGATATATTGTTTCAATTTTTCTTTGCTATGTAAGGTTTTTATTTGCTCTTCAGTTATGAAGGACAGTTTAGCTGGGTACAGTATTCTTGGTTGATAGTTGTTTGTCTTTAGGGCATGGGATACATTATTGCAGGCTCTTCTTGCTTTGATTGTCTCTGCTGAGAAATCTGAAGTGATTCTAATTGGTTTCCTTTTATAGGTGATTAATCTTTTCTCCTTGACAGCTTTAAGGATTTTTTCCTTGGTCTGAATTGTTCCTGTGTGGATTATAATGTGATGGTGGGATGTCCTATTCTGGTCTGGTCTATTTGGAGTTCCAAAAGCTTCTTGTATCTGAATAGGCCTATCTTTTTGCATGTTTGGGAAGTTCACTGCTAGCATCCTGTTAAACAAATTTTCTAGACCATTAACTTCTGTTTCTAGGTGCTACTCTACACCCATTATCCTCAGATTAGGCTTTCTGATGGTGTCTTCCAAGTATTGAATTGATCTATCATATTTCTTGTCTTGGATGGTTAAGTGTTCTTTCTCTATAATATCTATGGTGTCTTCAATCGCCGAGATTCGATCTTCTGCATGGTCTAACCAGGTGTCAAGACTTTCTACTTTTTATTATTTCTTTTCCTTCTAATTGGTCAGCTTTTATGGCTTCAAATTCTTTGTTGAAGCTTTGTTTTAGATCTTGTATGGACTTCTTTACTTCCTTAATTTGGTGTTCAGTGTTTATTCTCAAATCATTTAATTGATTGGTTATGGTTTCCTTGGATTCCCATTCCTTCCGTTGGGTTCCATTAAGCATTCCCTTTGTGGTTTCCCTGACTTCCTTCAGCTCCTTGTTAATGGATTCCCTGAAGGCCTTTAGAGATCTCTGTGTATTCTCATCCTGCTCTCTCAATTCCTGTATTACTCTTTGCTTAGCTTCCTCATGTTCACACCATTCCTGTAGTTCTCTTTGAGTGCTCTCAGCCTCTCATGCCATTCCTGCCTTTCTCTTTGAGTCTTCTCAAGCGGCTTTCACAATTCTTGTATCAGTTTTTGAGGAGCTTCCTCACACTCATGATATTCCTGTATTAACCTTTGGTTTGCCTCCTCTCTCTCCCTATCAAGTTCATACAGAGACCTTTATAGGTTTTCCATCTTTTCGTTTATCATGTTTGCCAGCAGTGTTTGTCGAGCTATTTGGGAAGTCTCCTCTGGATTATTCATTATCTCTTATGTCTCCTGATTATCAGGAGTTGGATTTGAGATACCCAGTCTTGCCATTTTTCTTGTGCTTTTCCTCCTTACTCTCCCCATTTGGGATGAAAGTAACACCAGTTTTGTGCTAGAACATTATCTGAAGGCAAGCATCAACCAAAGTCTGCAGATACAATCTAGTTCAACAGATATATCTATTCAACATCAAACAACTATATATTAATGAGCTACAAACCGCAAAGAAGAATTTGGCAAACTAGAAATTATTAGGTTTAGGGAGAGATGTGGGTAAAAATCCGAATAAAGGGATGTTTGAAGGCACAGGGAGAGTTAACTAAGTCCTAATCTCAAAGCGGGAAATCGGTTGGATAGGATGAAAGTATAGAGAGAGACAAAAATAAGAAAGAGAAAGAGAAAAAAAGAGACAAGGAAAATAGAAAAGCAAAAATTAAAAAATAAACAGTGCAATGCTTAAAAACTATGCAAAATTTAAAACAAAATATTCAGAGAAGAACGTGCATATAATGAGAGAAGGGGGGATATAAAGGAGACATGAAAAACGTAAAAATAAAAATGCTTAAAATTTTATATAGGTGTAAAGCGGTAGTACTGCTATGAAGAAATTTAAGTTTAAGAGATTTTGAATTGAGTAATAAATTTCTGGATTAAGTGTGTACACAATGGGGGATAAGGTCTAATATTCGACTAAGGTTATATCTGAGGATGTGCAGAATAGCAATTAAGTCACACAAAGAAGAACAAAAGAGAAGAAAAGGTAAAAAGAATGAGAAAGAAAGAAAAAAAGGTCAAAAGTTCAGTAGAGCTAAAAAAAAACAAAAAACATAAATTTTTAAAAAAAAAAAAAAAAAGAAAGAAAAACGGGCACACACATATACCCCTAAAATAAAAATTATAAGAGAAAGAAAAAAAGATAGTAGGAAACAATTGTTTTTTTAAAAGATAAAAATTAAAAAAAGTTTTAGATATAAAAAATTTTTTATAAAAGGTACAAAAAAAAGTTATTTGATTTTTTTGAGGGGAGAATGGGAAGATCCTGTATCTCCCTTGTGTCCATAACCAGTCTCTAGTTTTCTCTGGTCTGCTTGTGGTGTTTGATTTTCCTGTGGCTTTGGTTTCTTAAGTCAGTTTGTTTGAGCAGGCAGAAATATGCTCTGCTTTACCCAAGATTTTGTGATCCTCCTCCCAGGCTACTTCAATGGGAGGGAGTTCTGCTTTGAGTATCACAAAAGAGGGAGATGGCTGTTTCCTCTAGTTTGGAGATGTTGTGATTAGGCTAGGTTCTGGGTAGAGTTGAGGCCTTTCAGCAAACAGTAGCTTTTCCCTGAGGGGCTAGCTTGTGAGAAACTCACAGAGCCCAGCCTGGAGCCATTCTCAGGGTTTATATTTACTGAATTTCAATAGATTGTCCAGGCTGCTAAAGGGAGGGGCAGCCTCAGGCTCTGTTTACTCTGTGAAGAAAGCCACTCCTGGGGCTGGCAGCCGGATCTGGGTGACTTTTCCCTGGGTGGAGCTGAGTCTGACAGGTCAGGATAGGTTCTTGTGACCTGCTAAATGACTCTAGTTTTCTTCCAAGGCCTGAGTTGGAGCTAGGTGCTCAGCCGGGCCTTTGTCAGTATCAAAGATGGAGATCTCCGGTAGTGGGGGGAGGAAGGGTGGCTTTCCCCCCTTTGCTCCCTGAGAAGGAGTGAGGACATCTGGCTTCTACTCATGCTGAGTCTTGGTTCCTGGGTCGTCTCTGGTTTGTGAAGTGCAGGATGAAGATGTCTGCTTTTTGTGGGTTCTTGCTGGTGTTGAGTAGAATATGCTGGCCTGCTTTGTCTGGCTCCTTCGTCCTGGACTCTCTGTGTTGCAGGTATGGTGGGTACGGCCACCGCCTCTGCAGCTGGCAAGTGCTCAGATCTGTCTCCTTGCTTGGATTTTCCCTCTCTGGCCTAACTCTCTGTACTGTGATGGCACACTTGGTGTGATTCTCTGGCTTACAACTGTTCACTGGAACACTAAAACAGCTTTCTAGGTGAGAGCTTGTTTAGCCTCCAGCTTCTCCTCTGTCATCTTACACATAGCTTTTGAGCCCTTGTTATTCTCTCCTAAGAATATCCTGCTTTGTTGACACTGTGTGAGTGTTGAGTGCTGCTTAATTATGTCCAGGTATAATTATATTTGAAGTTTTAATTAGGAAGTGACTGTCTATCCTAAATGATTCATTGTTTTTGTTGTCTGTACTGTACTACTTTAACTTTAATCTCCTGAATTTCTTGAGGCTAGGGAAAACAAGGATCATTCCGAAATTAGGGCATCCTGAGCTACCTGGCCACACTGTCCAGGAGAAGATGGCTGCAATATGGCATAGTGATAGAAGTTCTGTTTGTGGAACTATGAAATCAGCACATGTACTGCCCTTGTGTGTACACAAGTTAGACTTTTTCAACCACAGGCAACCTGCCTGGATCATAGATGAGAAGTCTTCCTGCAGCCAGAAATACCTTCTAAGATTCTGAGATAGGAATCTTCTATGGTGAAACATTTATCCATTTAGTATTTTTTATGAACTACACTGAGAACAGCTAACATTAAGCAAAAGAAATGTACATATCACCCAATGCATAAGAAATAGTTGTACTGTCAAACGTTATAGAATTCACTTTATAGACCAAGATAATGACAGTTTGCCTTGTGAAAGTTAAAATGTGTTTGTAACTTTAAGTATCACTATCCTACAATACTGTGAAATTTGTGATATTTATGTAATCATTCAATCTCAATAAGAATTATTATTAAAAAAGAATTACACTGTGATATATAGAAATAAAGTTTCCAAATTTTCCCAGTACTGGATTAGGAAACAGAATTCATTTCTTCTCATAACAATAATACATGAAAGATGTTACCTTTTACTTACTCAAGTAACAAGTGCAGCTTTTCTCCCTCCCTAGAATCATTATATGTAGAGTTTGTCATTCCTGGTGCCATTTGAATGCAAAACATTCCTATTGTGACCTGGATGCAAGTGAGCATTTTACAAAGTGTTTTAGTACTAGACCTCACTTGTCAGAGTTCCTGAATTCTTCAAAATGTTTCACACAGCACTTGAAAATATTCCACAGAATTCAGGTGGGGAATCCCCATCTACCAAAGCAGAGGATGTGGTCATTTCTTGGTCAGAACTGAGGAACAACCATGTGTGACTGCTGCCCAATGGAACCACAATGTCTGAGTCCATTTCACTCACAGGGTCAGGAATCTTAAATGAGTCGAGGAGTCTGTAAAGCTACAATCTTCTAGGATGAGTTAGGAAGAACAATGTCTTGGTACAAAAACTAGAACAACAAGCCTTCAGAAGTGTAAGAATAGCATGACCTCAGAAAATACTGGAGACAAATTTCTGTACATGATTTGTGTTCAGTGATAGGAAGATTTGGATTTTAAGAAATATTGAATAATGTACATGACTTTAATGATAATTGACATGCAACAGTATGTTCTCTTGTCATAGAGAATGTATGAGCCTGAGCCACTACCTGAATTGTGACCTTAGGGTACACGAGGGCTTCCTTATTTCTCAGTACATTCTGGGAACAGTGGTCAAGGGTGGATGCTGATGATTCCTTCTTGCTAAGTTCAACCTTGTTATTGCTCTTCATGTTTGTGAGCAGAGAGGATGTCTATGGAAAAAGAGCTATTGACAGTGAAAGCCCTCATGAAGGCTGGTTTTCTGTCCTGAAATAGAATCTCTCCAGGAAAAAGACAACTTTCTTCTCATGATCTGAATCTTACAGTACATGTAAATTATTTTAAGAGATTGACCCCAAAGTCTCTAGAAGTTAGTATGCTAAGGAAGTAAGGAAGTTTTTTTTTTTTTATGTTTATGCCATTATTCTAGGCTATATTGAATTGTCTGTAAAAAGATGGAAAACTTTTACCTTTTCTTCTGTAGAGCAATTTTGGTATGATAAATTCAATTGAATTTTCAATGTAGTGACTGAAATAGAATAAAAGGCATGACAAATGTAGAAAACAGATGATTAAATAAGATCCAAGAAACAAAGGACCTCTTCTTAATTTGTCATACAGTTTCTAGATGACTCTATGTTCTTGTCCCCATGTATGGTGTGTACATGTACATATCTGAGGGAAGCTAGCAGGAGGGCACAGAACTAGAGGCAAATTGGTGAAAAAATACGCAGAGGGGCCTATCAGCTGCTCTTCACATTGATGAAAGTGAACTAAGCAATTCAAGGCTGGTGATGGGAGGGTGGGAAAGAGAGAGAAAGAGGAAACGACTGACACTAAGCAAAAGGAAAGAAATGTACAAATCACCTAGTTTGGAAGAACTAGTTTTATTGTTAAAATCTGTAACATTCACAAGCTTTGCAAATGAAGATGATGACAAGTTGCATTGAGAAGGCTAAAATGTGTTAATGACCTTAGCTAAGTATCACTATGCCCCAGTACTGTGAAATTTATGGGATTACTTAATCTCAATAAAGAAGAAAAAGAAAATAGAGATGAGTGAGAAAGTTCAAGTTGTAAGTAAGGAAGAATTTATTTCAATCATTAGGTCTTTGTGCTAGATTGAGGAGAGGCATGAGGAGAGGTCTTTGCCCTCTAGTATGTTTGGGCCAAAGCAAAGCTCAGAGAAAGTATTGTTGAACTACTCTTAGTTGACTGACCTTAATTTTTCATTTTATATTTTCTTAGTAGTGTGTATTTGTAAAAATGGGGTTCATAATGATATTTTATACATGTTTGTGGTTTCTTATATTTGCCTCATCCTTTTTTCTTGCTCCATTGACATTTCAAGCCAATTTTAATGAGCTACATTATTTTTTCATACATTAGACCTAATGTTTTGTTCGAATTCATAGAACCTTTTGAAAACAATCAGTAAAATTTTTTACATCTCTTCCTTTCTTTGCCTATGTCTTTCATCCATTTAACCACAAAATTCTCTCACTGCCATTAATCTTTCAATGCCTCCCAACCATCCATCCATCCATCCATCCATCCATCCATCCATCCATCCATCCATCCATCTTTCAATACATCCATTCATCCTTGCCTATACATTTCGGAGTGTAAATATTGTGTAAGCTCACTTACGACTGCAAAGGAGAAACTAGAAATGAGCATTATTGAGTGCATCTTTAATATTATGCAAGAGCTGGGGGCTGGTGGCTCATGCCTGTAACTCTAGCTACTAGGTGCCCGAGATCTGGGGATCACAATTCAATCTCAGTCTGAGTTGGAAAGTTCATGATGATACTCTTATCTACAATTTACGACAAAAAACTGGATGTAGAGTTGTGGTTCAAGTGGTAAAGCAACCTCAAATTATAAAGCTAAGGGACAGTGTAGGTCTTGAGTTGAAATATGCATAAATGAATTTAATGAATATAAGATGTAACATGTAATGAGCCCTAGAAGAGAGACCAGAAGTGAGTGCAGTTGTGTGGATATGTCTTAAATACACAGAAATAGTATAGAACACACTAAATCAGAATATTTGAAATAATAAGTAATGCTTCCTTATCAAATGTAGACATTTGAAATGTGACAGATAAAAATGTTCATGTTTCTTGCTGTTGTTTTTAATGTACTTATAAAGTACTATGTGATTTTTTTGTTTCTTTTGTATGTTCTTTCCCCATGGTATAACCCGTTTTCACTGTATTTGATTTTGGTTCCCTGCATCTTGTATATACATTTTTCTAATTTGGGGAGGGGAGGGGAAATGACAAATTGCTGAAATAAGGATACACGTTGACCCATTGTAGCAATGAGATGTACATGACACTATGTTGCAAACGAACTTTATGACTTCACGGGGAAGGGAGGAGTTGGGGAGGTTGGGAGGCAGTGGAAGGTAGGGGAAAAACAAAGGAGTGGGCAACAATGCTTGATAGGAAATGTACTCATTATCTTACTCATGTAACTGTAACTTTTCTGTACAGTATCTTTATAATAAATATATATTAATAAAAATTCCATGTTTCAAAAGATATAAAAAAGTGGTAAGTTTTAAAGAACTACTTTTTTATTTCATATATAGTTGTTGTAAAAATAATGCATAGAGGGGTTACAGTTACATGAGTGGGGTAATGAATACATTTCGTAGCAAGGGTTGTTACCTCCTTTGTTTTCCCCATACCATCACTTCCCTCCCCACCTCCCCAACTCATCCCAACCCCCAACCACCCCGACATTGTAAAGTTCGTTTTCAACATAGTGTCCTCTACATATCATTGTCACAATGGGTCAGCCTGCATCCCCATTTAAGCGTTCCCCAATATCCCTTACCCTCTCCAAATTACAAAAATGTATATACAGGGTGCAGAACACGGGCATCAAATCCAGTGAGAACAGGGGTTATACTGTGGGCGAAGAACATACAAAAGAAACAAAAGAATCAGGTAGTGTATTGTAAGTACATTAAAAACACTATCAAGAAAAAAAATCCACTTGTATCCCTGTCTTGGGGTACATTTTGCTTAACATTATCTCATGTGGTCATATATACATAGCCTTTGACCTTCTCCGTTTGTCCATTTACTAGTCATTGCAAAAAAGGGAAACCATGGGACCTATGTTTTTTGGGCCTGGCTTACTTCATTTAATGTAATTTTTCCAAGACTTTCCATTTCCTAACAAATGAGGCAATGTCATTCTTTCTGACGGAGGCATAGAATTCCATTGTGTGTGTGTGTGAGTGTGTGCATAAGTGTGTATCACATTTTCTTGATATATTCATCTACTGAGGGGCATCTGGGTTGGTTCCATATCTTAGCTATGGTAAATAATGTTGCAATAAACATGATTATGCTGGTAGCTTTAGTATTGTCTTGGTTGTGATTGTTCAGGTAAATGCCCAAAAGTGGGATTGCTAGGTCATAAGGGAGCTCTATATGGAGTCTTTTGAGGAACATCCATACTGCTTTTGAAAGTGGTTGAACAAGTTTACACTCTCACCAACAATGCAGTGGGGTTTCCTTTGGAGCACATTCCCTCCAGCATCTGTTGTTACTAGATTTCTTGATTAAGGCCATTCTAACTCGAGTGAGGTGGAATCTCAACGTTGTCTTGATTTGCATTTCTTTTATGACTTGAGAAGCTGAGCATTTCTTCATGTCTATTGGCCATTTTCTTCAGAGAAGTTTCTCTTTAAGTATTTAGTTCATTTATTAATCGGGCAATTGTTTCTTTGAGGATTTGTTGCTGGATTTAGTTTTTTGAGTTCTAAGTATATTTTAGATATGAGACCCTTGTCTGTTGTATGGTTAATGAAGCTCTTCTCCCAGGCTGTGAGCCTTCTGTTGATCTTGCTAGCTATGTCCTTTGCCTTGCAGAAGCTCCACAGTTTCATGCAATCAGATTTGTTCAACCTTTCTTTGATTTGTGGTGCTTGTGAGTGTCTAGTAAGAAAATTTTGGCCTGTACCTAGGAGCCCTAGAGTTTCTCCTATTGCTTCCTATAATGTTTTCATGGAGTCTGCTTTTATTTCGAGGTCTTTGATCCATTTGGAGTTGATTCTGGTGCAGGGTGGTATATATGGATTTAGTTTAAGTTTTTTACAAGTGTTTAACCAATTTTGCCAGCCCCATTTACTGAAAAGGCTATTTTTCTTCCATTCAATTTCTTTAGCTCCCTTGTCAAAATTTAGGTGGCTATAGTCTGTGGGTTCATTTCTGGGTCTTCAGTCCTATTCCATTGGTCATCAGGTCTGTTCTGTGCCAGTACCAAGTTGGTTTGGTTATTATGGATTTGTAGTAGAGTTTGAAATTTGGAATTGGTATTCCCCTGGCGCTGTTCTTTCTACTAAGGATTGTTTTTGCTATGTGAGGTCTTTAATTGTTCCATATAAAATTTTGGATTGCGGGGCTGGGAAGGTGGCTCAGTGGTAGAGCGCTTGCCTTGCATGCTCTAGGCCCTGGATTCGATTCCTCAGCCCCACATAAGCAAAAAGAAAAAAAGCCGGAAGTGGCGCTGTGGCTCAAGTGGTAGAGTGCTAGCCTTGAGCTGAAGAGCTGAGGGACAGCGCCCAGGCCCAGAATTCAGGCCCCACCACCGGACCCAAAAAAAAAAATTTGGATTGCTTCTTCTATTTCATTGAAGAATGAGGTTGGGATATTGATGGTATCACATTGAATTTGTAGATAGCCTTTGGCAGTATTGCCAGTTTCATGTTGTTAATCCTCCCAATCCAGGAGCAAGGGAAGTTTTTCTACTTGCTTAGTTCTGCTTCAATTTCCTTATTCAGGTTTTTAAAGTTTTTGTCATACTGGTCCTTCACCCCTTTTGTGAACTCCTAAGTATTTTATTTTTTGTGTAGCTATTAAAAGGGGTTGCTTTCCTAATTTCAGTCCTGCTCTTCTCATTATTGGCATAGAGCAATTGATTTCTGATGGTTAATTTTTATACCCTGCTACTTTGCCAGTTTCTAATCAGCTCATGTAACTTTGGTGCGGAGTCCATGGGGTTCTTTAAGGACAAGATTTTGTCATCTGCAAAGAGGGAGAGTTTTATTTCATCTTTCCCTATTTGGATCACCATTTTGTCTGCATCTTGTCTTATTTCCCCAACCACGCATTCTAATACTAGGTTGAAGAGGAGTGCAGAGAGTGGAGATCATTGTATTGCTCCTGAATTTAGAGGCTTTAACTTTTCG